CAATCCCAATAAACTTCTAGGTCTATATTCTCCTCTACCTGACTACTTCAATTTTGGTTTGGGCACCAAAGCCATTGCCATAACTACCTTGGGTTACAAGGTACTTTTGTTCCTGATCCTGGTACCTGTGTTTGGGTCGTTTCCCAATATTAGCTGCCAGATATTACTCTGACCTCATTCCATGTAATTTTCTTTATGACTGCAGCATATATTCAGCATACACACACACACACACACACACACACACACACACACACACGCATATCACATCTAAAGAGAATAAGTGAAATTACAGATAAAATGGGGAGGTGGTAGGCAAGAATGGCTTACTCTCTCTGTCTTAGTTTCCTTTCCTTTCCTTCCCAGACCACTGGCCCTGTGGGCCCTTTTCCAGCAAGGACTTGTGAAAGGTGGTGAAGCGTGGATCAAGCTTTAGAATATGATAGAAGTAAATGTCTAGTATCAGACAGTAGTGATTAAACGTGTTATTCAAAATTCTCTAAGCCTCACTCCAAGCTAGGAAAGAACATAGTTACAGATTAGAGATAGGAGAGAGAGAGGGAACAAAGATATGGATTACATTGGCGAAATGTGGCCTTGACAAATGAATGTGGATACTTGGCCACATATCTGCCAGAAGGAAGGGGGATAAATATGGATCAGCTTGTGCCAGGGCAGTACTAAATATGTATCCTAGAGTCACGTATGTATATATATGTGTGTGTGTTTGTGTGTGTGTGTGTGTCTGTGTGTCTTTGAATAAGCCCTTAACAGTTACCCTTTGTAATATGAAGGCTGTTTGTCTGCAAAGTACATGACAATTATGGTCCCTTCTGGGCACCTGTGACTTTTTATTCTGTTTCCACCTGTAGTCAGAATTGTAGTTGATTATCTTGTAGGCCTCTTTTGGGGCTCTCAGGAACTTCTAAATCCTTTGACATGAATTGCTTATTTGAAATTAGTACAAACAACGATAAAATGAGGCACAAGCCTTAAATTCTACACATAGGCCATTTACATATAATGAAAATGTGACTAATTGAAAAAAAAAATTGGAAATAATTGAAAAATTAGTATTAAATTAGTATATATCATATATATATGATAAGTAACTCCAAAATTATTGCCACAACCAAAATTGTACAGAATTATCAAAAAATACCTGATGTTCACATTATAATTTTTTGGACAGTTAGTTTAAACAATTAATTTATTTAAACAAATTTTGAGCTCTAGATTTCTTCAATTTTTATAACTCCCAGAATTTGTTGTAATGCAATCAACAAGAATTACTAAAATGGTGGAAAGACCTTTATTTCCTTCCCAAGAGTCAATAAAATTGAAAATAGAAGTTGTATGTAAGTCATTTTCAAGCCATAGTTTTTTCAAATTATCATCTAAATTTTTAGAATTAATAATTTTTATTCACTGTCTTTAAACATCTTTCTCATTTATTCCACAGTTCTTATGATTCTAAATAATTTTCTTATGAAATAAAAGTCAAACATTAACCAACTTTTTAGAAATTTAAATAATTTACTGCATTAATCTTAACTTTTAGCAATCACTTTGAATTTGAAAATAATTTAAATTATTGTTGATCTAGACCATATAAATTTACACATTTGTATCTAGAAAACAATCCTGGTTCTATGTTTCCTTGGGAATTAGAAAGTTTATAAAGCTAAAGGACATAACTGCATCATCAGCAAATTGCTCTATCAATGGAAGGTTTCTTATAATACTTACCATGACAAAATGAAGAAAGGTTACACTGTTTTTAATCTCAAAATATTCTGCATATTATCAAATATTTCTGGGTGAAATATGGTAGTTAATTGCTAAATAATATGAAGTTTATGGAATATCAGTGGTGCCAATTATTACATACTCAAGTTACAGAAGAAAATTGATTTCATAAAGACACATATATAACTCCTTTTTATTTTTTCTTTCACTTTCATGTACATGTATGTATCACAGTTCCTGAACAAACATTCAAATATTCTCTCCCTCTACTTACACAAGTTGAGATTTAAAACTAACACACTGGCTTTTTTATATATTTTCCCCTCCTGCAAATCCCCAGAATTGCACTGGAATTAGGACAGCCTAGATTAAAATTATTTAGAAGCCTAGAGTAGAATGTGTGTGCTTCTGAAAATGTCTTTGGTAAGCATGTATAGCTTTTGAGAACTTCAAAAGCATGTGACTGAACACTGCTAAGATAACTTGGCTGTAGTTAGAAGCTCAGACTTCAAACAATTCTAGCATTCCAGGCACCTGCCTTATTAAAACCGCACCCTTCGCTTTTGACCTGAGCCAAAGTCTATGGAGTTTCAGTGATTAAGAGTCTCCCCAGTATACTACAATGTCAAAGAAGGAAAAAAAAATCAGGGAGGTGAACATATTAATAGCTGAAATATTTGGTGGCCTAATATTAAGGAAGAAAGACTTGGAAAATAAAATTGTAAATATGGGTAGCACCTCTATCATTAAGGTTAAATTATATAGTATCCACTGGAAAATAATTATCAATGCATATGTAAAGAACTTCACTTATCTGATAAATACATAACCATTGAAAGCATGTTTCCCAAACTGTCATATAATAGGAAGACCTGGATAGGATATAAAGTATTTGGGTGGGAGGGTAGAGATAGGGTAATTTTGAGTACAGGTATAATTTTGAGTGTATAAAGCAAATATTTAAAATCAGAAGATATATTGAGGCTAAATGGAACAGATCTATGCATAGTTAAACCAAAATTACTTATGTCTGAATAAACTACTTTGGTAAAAATAAAACATTTCTTATTCTAAGTTGTCAACTTCCTGATAGCCTGCCTGTTTCTAGGCCACTTATTTCCATAGGTTGTTAAATGATTAGGGAATGCAAAATGTAATAGTTTACTCTAAATCCTTTTAGAATGAAGCACAGCTATAAATAACAAATGTATGAAAAAGGAAGACAAATCTTAGTATTTGTGCACATATATAATACTTAGGAAAATATACCTTCTTTGGGGAAAATTATTTTAGAACAAATCAAAAATTGAGTTTTTAAAACAATTATTATTGTCAACAATGCTGTGTGGCTCAGGAAAAGCAGAACTTAGAATGGTCAGCAAAAAGACGCAAATTAATTATACACGTCAGAATACCACCTTGTGTTCATATAGCACCTGTTTCTTAGTAGGTGAGAGAACAATGTCACAAGGTTTTTGTTTCTGTTGTTTTAATTTTGTTTTGTGTTTGGCATTTATTTTGTTATGTTAATCAATATTTGTTATACAACCATGTCGTTTCAAAGACGTTGGTCTCATTTATATTTTACTAATTTGAGAATAGATTTAGAAATACAGGTGACTCAAAAAAGCTCTTTTGGGAGCTTTTTCATGCTGTCTTGGTAAAGCCTAGTTTTCTGAAACATTGGTTGCTAGAGCTGCTGTTTTAATTTTTGCACCATCAGATTTTTCCATGGCTCTTTCATTTGTTTGTTTTGTCAGCAATCATTTTTTTCCTGGTCTTCTTTTTTCAGCTATACACAAGTTAGAGAAGAAAAATAGTCTTCTTTTCATTAGAATATTTCTACACAAATAGTATCCCTGAATATTTCTAACTACAAAGTAGCCTCCCTAGTTGACTAATTCTCCTGTTGAAACTCTTTGCAACAATTGTTGCCATAATAAAGCACCACCAATTTGGAACCCTTCATTCTGTTTTGCCACAAAGGACATGTTGCTAAGCCACATTTCTCAGTGTTTTCAGACTCACTTACTGCATGTAAAAAGCCAATGTATTTTTTTTTTTTTTTGGAACTCTGAGAGTAAGAATTTTTCTTCAATCATTTCATTGGACAGACCAGTCTTACAGATTGTTTTGTTATTAAATTAGTTTTACATGGAATCTGTTAAAATAGATTCATCAAAGTCCCATTTGACCAGCAGCATGCTCTCCCTGTGCTTAATCCTAACTACCCAGCCCTTATTTTACCACCATAATTACATAAACATATATGTTTGCTTATACATGGTTATTATATGTGATAGACATGGAAAATAAAATGAAAATGAAGAGAAAAGAAAGATGAGTAAGTTTACTCTCATGGTTTGCTAATTTTTAATAGTCATATTTAATTTTCTTATGGAATCATAGCATGCAAGCTACGAATTAAGCTTTAGATTGATTTATACCAAAACTGAATGCCACTACCTTAGAAAGATTTTATTAAACTATGTTTCTCAGGTATAGTTTTTTTGAAATTGCATTTTGATTAAAGAAAGTTAAATTTAGTACAATTTTTCACTGTGTTTTAAAAGTCATGAAATGACAGAGAAGCAAATATTTATAATGAGGTTTATTAGTAGGAGTTTGAAAACCATTAGCTAACAACATCTGCCATTTATTTTTATTATGTAAGCTCTTGTGTACATAACATAGCTTAATATGAGAATAGCTTCACTCTTCTATTTCATTTTATATGTGATTTGTTACTTTTTGAAGGTCTGGAAAATAAATTGTTGTGTTTTCCTTTTTAATAATCAATAAATCTCTTTTTAAATGATGGTCAATCTTTGTCAGCTTTAAGAAACTCCATAGGAATTGTCTATTTATTTATTTGGTTTGTTGAGAGAAAAAATATCTGGCATGTAATGAGTTATCCTGCAGTGATTGCTGTCAAGCAGCAGCACATGCACACTCAGTTCCACAGTTTGTGCTAACAACCATTGTTCGACCAGGCATTTCTCCAAAGCTCATGAGTTAGGGAATGGTAATTATAGCAAGTTGTGTATTATAAATAATGCATGTATGTTCCTCATGAGCTATGTGGGATTTCGGCCCATTTGCTAGAACATAGTTGCATAATGATTTGTTTGGATTTTGTTGCAGATGATTGATAGTGCAGAATGTTGGCAATGATGTAAATTACTGTTGGGCTGCCTTGAAAATTTCAGTACAAGTGGTGATTTCTTCTCTTTTTCTGTGTGCTTGTCTAGTCTCGGCAGACACCTGAGGGTGAGTTCCTTCCCCTTGACCAACTTGAACTGGATGTAGGTTTTAGTACAGGGGCAGATCAACTTTTTCTTGTGTCCCCCCTCACAATTTGCCACGTGATCGATGCCAAAAGCCCCTTTTATGACCTATCCCAGCGAAGCATGCAAACTGAACAGTTCGAGATTGTCGTCATCCTAGAAGGCATTGTGGAAACAACTGGTGAGTAAAAACAGATATGACATAAAAACTTTCTTTATACCATAATGACATTATATGATTTGCACAATACCTGTCATGAGTTGGGTGAAATGACTCAGAGTTTATAGTAATGAAAGTAATGATTTGCTTTTTATTTCTTTGTAACATTAAATCGATACTATTTTGAAAATTAAAATGTACTGTTTTGATAGTTACATACATAATATTAACTCAGGAATATTCACTGTAAAAAAAGTGAGATGACTTCTTATGAATGATTATGATGTGCTATTATAATTACAAACTTGACTTTCTTATAATCATGATTTTTCTTTAAAGATTTAAGGCTCAAAAAAATGTATGGTAATTAGTGAGCAGCCTGAACTCAGCATGCATATTCTGGCCTTGGCGATGGTGATTTGGGGTGTCATTGATAGAGCTTTGATATCCACTATGTGCAACCTCAGTGGAAAATTCCGTGTGTGTGTATCTGTGTGTGCTGTGTATGCTAAAGCAACATTTTAATTTTGAAGTGGGTCAGTGGATTTCCCCAGCTGAACCTTGACCAAAATTTCATTTCAAAAAGAGATTTTTACTCTTTTTCTGCTCCCATATAGCTACATGCTGAATGTTCTTCCTTAAGATTCAGTATACCATCAGTATGCGCCAAATACCATTTGCTATTGTCTGAGGACAGTTAAGTTGACAAAGGAAATTCACAATAGTTATGAGCATATTATTTGGGGCCTAAACATTGCCCAGTTAGTTTGGAACCTACTGAATGTCTGAGATTAATAATGTAGTATCCCTGTAATTGTATGTATATGTACGTGTGTGTGTGTGTGTGTGTGTGTGTGTGTGTGTGTGTGTTCTACACTTTCTACAAGTACTGAGAAAACAAGAAATATTTTAGCTGTTAATTGTTTTCTAACAATATCATCTGAATTATATAATGCTAATGGTTATGTATAAACTATAGCAATATTGAAATTAGCACTGGCAATACTATAGATAAATTCAAGCTTTATACCAAGGTGGAAAGTCTTTGATCATGTAGCAGTCAGTACTGTCCAAGGAACAGGAGGAGGAAAGCCCTTGTAATTTTAGCATGTCTGTCACGTAACATCTATGTGAAATTTAGGCAAGATATTTACTCTCTTAAAGCTTCCTTTACTTCTCTTCAAAGTGAGGATGATATAATAACTACCTCAAAGCTGCTTGTAGTATTTTAAACTGAAGCACTATTATTAGTTAGTTGACGTAACTTTCTATGATATTTAGCATTAGATAATAATAGTGCTTCAGTTTAAAAATTATGATTTTAAGGACAGTAAAAAAAGATTTAATGCATTCATCTATGTATGAAATTTTATTTCTGCATAGTATTTTATGATTTAAAGCTCCCTTTCATTTTTTTAACTTATAATTGAAATACCATAATATTTAAAAAATATCATACATTGGTAAAAAGTATAACCAATTTATAAAGGCTCTTAGTCCAAGAAATCTTTAAATTTCCATTTTTATTCATCTAATTAAAGTAGTAGTGTATGAGGGTTTAAAAACAGATGTTGCCATTTTTATTGGTTTATTTCTTATAGCATACGGTTCTTTCTTTCATACATCTGCTTATCGTTTACCAATTGCTTAGTATTATTCTCATCACTGACAGGAATGCATTTTTGTTTCACTGGATAGCCTTAAAAATGTTTTATTAGATCAATCTACTTATCTATCTAGCTATCCATTCATTCTTTCCTGTTTTCCCTAAATACTGTATATATTTGTTAAGAATGAAAGTGTTTTTCTATAAAATCACAGTCAAAGATGGAATAGTTCTTCAATCTTATTTTGTGTTTCTTAACCTTGATATACTTGAAAAATTAGGCCAGGTATTTTGTAGGTTGTCTCTCAATTTGGATATGTCTGCAGTTTCCTTATTCATTCTTTTGAGTTTTAGCTCCCATATAGCATCTTAAGGGAATATTGAAGCAGGTTATTTGTATATTTTATCTATTTTTTAGAGGATCATGGTTGGTACACAATATTCTACATGATATTATGGTTTTGTAACACAAATTATTTATTAGAGTTATAGATGTTTTTTACTACTTTCTTCCTCCTGCCCTAAAAAAAGAAATAAGCGGGAAGACAATACTTTCCACAGATAATGTGAAAACTTGGCTGAAGATTGAACTTCTTATTTAGAGATTGCCTTTTATGGAGAAGAGATTAAAGTCCACTTCCTCTTAACCTGTTAATTAAGCCTGTTTTCTAGATCTAATATAGCAATACAAATAAGAAAAACATTACTCGTAATTTATAGAATTTATTTTGTGGAAAATTTATCTGACATTTTGTTTGTGTGCATGCCCTAACTAATTAAATCCCACACTGTTCAAACTCTATAAAATCTATGTATATTTCCAGACCTCCCTGAGCCTGAACAAAGACATTTTTATGTCCATTTGATCATTTACAATTTTACTGAGACTTATTTAGGTTCATCTTTAATAATGTTTCCTTCTTTATCCTTTCGTTCATAATAAATTTTACCTTCTCATAATATGTATTGCCTAGAACAAGACAATATGATCTTTTGGGATTCTTTCAGGGAACTAGAATGCTGTCTTTACATCTTACTAAAGAATAAACTTTTCACTACTTGGTGAATAAGGTTAGTTGATGTAACTTTCTATCGTATTTAGCATTAAAAAACAGCTTGTCATCATTCAGTAACTCATTTATTAGATAAGTATGTATTGAATCTATGTTGTGTGCTTGAAAGTATGTAAGCTGCTAGAGATATAGCAGTGACCTGGCAGACAGAATTTCTTTCCTCGAATGGGTTGTATTCTAATTGTAGGTGGCAGACCACAATACCCAAATAAATAAGGGAGGTATCAGATAACATTGTTGGGGAAAAAATCAACAACAACAACAACTCAGGAGCCTGAAGTGGAAGGATTGCCCGAGCCTGGTGACACAGTGAGACCCTGTGTCTAAAAATAAATAAATAAACAAAAAAACCAAGGTGATGGTATAGGAATAAGGTCCCTGTAGGCTGCTTTAGGCTAATAATCAGAGAAGGTCTGAAGAGTAAAGAGGGGACACTTAAGATGAGACCTGACTATCCAGAAGGCCCTTCTGGGCCAGTCTGGGGGAAGAGCATGGCAGACGCTGTGGAACAGCTGGTGTAAGGGCCCTGAGTTGGGAATGAGCTTGATTTATTCTGGGAACTAAAAAAAGGTGGAGGTGGTTGTAGCAGAATGAGCCATGTGGAGAGTGGGGTGAGAAGTCAGAGAGGAGGAAGGGCCATATCTGCACTCTAGATGGTTTTATGCACCAATAGTAACTGTTAGGATTCCATTAAAAAGCAGAGCCTGTATTTATATAAGAGTAATAATTTAGTAATCTCAAAGTGTATACAACAACAAAAAAATCCACTTTTTACATATAGTGGGTTGCATGTAGTTAATTTAAAAATTAGTCATTCTGAATGTCTTGGAAATGCATTCTGAGACACTCTGATGTCTCAGAAATGCATACAATTTTAGACAGTTCCCACTTTTGTGTTAATTGTATCCCTCCTTTACCCTCCTACCCTCACACCCCTACCTAGTACCTTTGTTCACAGCCGTGCTCCAGTGGTAAAAATCTTCTAATTTCATTTAGTTTTTGTTCATTCCCATTGCTGTGGTCTCAGCAGGAGTGGTGTGGCAGGAGGGAAGTGAGAAATTAGCTTTCTAATTTCCTTGAAAGTTTCAGCATTTCCACTCAGGACTCAAAATGTTCTTTCCCCCCTTTTTGGGAAGTACTCCTCATTGATCAGACACAGGTTTGTTGCCCGCCTTGCTTCAAATGAGTTGAATTTTCACTCACAAAGTTTGTCTCTTCATTAATAAGCTTTGCAACTTTGCTCATCTAGCAAATTTCAAAACGTAGGTTACCTCTCACTCTTGCTCTCTTTGCAGCTTCTCCCAGGAGAGAGAGCACTGCTAGAGGCAAACAAAGCATTGCAGATTTGGCTCATTAGAACTCCATGCTTTCAAACTTCAATCTGGTTTCTGCTGCTATTTGGCAGTCTTTTTAATTGTCTTTTCTGTACTCTCAGGCCTGCTCCCCATGGGATCTATTTTAGACCTTTTCTCTCTCTCTGCCTTCCCAATCCCAGCTGTCCCATCCCTGCCTTGGCATGTCATCTCTCCACCTAGTCTATTAAAAAGAATGTGACACTTCAATTTTTATACATTTCTTTATCTCTATTCTTTTCTCATAGTTAGCTTCTCGTTCTCTTTCCTGGTGTCTGTGAGGAAAAGTGCCTATTCTTTTCCAAAACCATGCCTTTTATAGCTACAAATGTTTCTTATGCATAGCTTTCTACCACCTATGACTCAAGCTCCAATTCTTAGCATCCCTGACATCTAAAACCCCATTGACTCTTTGTATTTGCTCTGAAATATTTTCAGTTCTTTCCTACTGGACAAAAATAAAACTCTATTATTTGTTTGTCCCTTTATACACTTAAGGTTCTTCCTGAAATTCAGACACACTACATTCTCCCCACTCTCTCTCTCTCTCTTTTTCTTTCTCTTTATATTTTTCAGTTGTTCCATATATCCTACATCCCTGCCTCTTCCTGCTCCTCCTCTCTCCAGTAAATATTTTCTAGTTTTTCCTTTCTAGTCTAGATATTTGCTTTTTTAGTGAATTCACAAAGTGCTCACAAATCCACCATTTCTTTTATCTCCAGCTATGCAGCTCTCCTCCAGCTATCGTCTTGTATTTGTTATTTAATTTCTAAACCATTTTTTCCACTTGAACGTCACTATTTTAATTCAAAGTTACCTTGTCTAAATACCAAATCATCAACTTACCCTCAAATTATATCCTCATTCAGAAAGTTTGCATCTATTAATGGTAGCTATTTTGTTCTGGTCCGCTGCTTTTAACTTCAGTTAATTTCTTCATCCAACAAATGCTTATTGAGAGGTATTATAGGCTAAAGAATTTTAGACTTT